TTCTACTGATAACGCCTCCATTCATGTCTTCATTACACAGATGACTTTGGCTTAAATTCAAATATATGCTTCTAATTCAAATTGGTGTTTAAGAAAACTTCAGACTGTTGTATTAAACACAGTTAAAGACTGGAAAAACAACATTTTTCATCGACATCAATTTCTCATTAAGACTAGAACAAATCACAGTTGTTAAGAAGTGACAACTCAACACACGCATTAAAACTTAGAAATATTTGTTTTATTCAAGATGGCAAGAAGAAGAAATGATCACTGATACTAGAGACACTATGGGGCACTTAACACGCACACATTTTCAGACATGCACCTAGGTCTGTAAATTCATGTTTTCTGCAACATGATGCTCTGATAAGACTATGCAGATTAATCACAGTGAGAGATCTATGAGTCTGTTGTTGTACATGTGAACTGGTTTAAAAGCAAACTCTAGTTAATGTACAGTTTTCATTCCTTAGATATAATCTGGCGCTCACGTCTGAAAATATTTAAGACACACATACTTTTATCTTAACCCCAGTTTCTTCTTCTCTTTCTGTTTCTTGCGAACCACATCCATGTTGCGATCTTTCCACATGCTCTTCCGCAGTTTGATGGGCCGACTGCCGACATATTTTCCTAGAAAAGTAACAGATTGAACACTCTTTGCTGCACACAATGAAACCATTGAAATTCAGAGGTGAGAAATCTCAGACTGTGGTGTGAAGAGACTGACCGTTCATCTCTCTCATGGCTCTGACGTAATCGTTTGGATCCTTGAAGCTCACAAAACCGTAGCCTTTGGTCTTTCCTGTACGTTTGTCTCTCACCACCTGATGATAAAAATGTATGGACACAATGACCAAACCAATTCTGTGCCTTAGCAAAAAGTACAACAAAAACTTAACTGAAGGTATGAAGGTGCCAAAAACAAACCTTAGCTTTGAGAAAAGACGGGTATCTGCTGAAAGCTCTGGCCAGTATGTCATCGTTGACCTCGTTGCCCAGATCACCACAAAATATGCGAAAGTCATCTGCACCGTAACATCAAAGGATGGAATATAAACAGCACGTGTTACACTCATGAAATAGGCTTGAACGAGTTAAATCAAGAACTAATTAGTCAATATTGTCAAAGAGTGCCAGTGTGTGCAGCCGTCTGTACCTGATTCCCAATCCAGCAGACTGGCATCCTCCCAGGAGACTCCCGCTGCTGTACGGATGCACTTCTTCATTTTCTCCGATTTTGTTTTCTTCTTGTCCTCTGAGGTGTTTTCCACAGGCTGTAAGAATTACATGATCCTGAATTTTGTCTATTTTCAAGCAAGTTCTGATTTCAGTTGGGGACCCTCTTTGTCATCAACCATTCTTTAAAGTTAAAACAAACGTGCAGGTTTGAAATAAAGGGTCATATTATAGGAGTGGCTTGTACCTCACTGTGAACGGGCTCCGGCTCAGGCATGCTGGGCCCTATCACGCTGCTGCTACTGCTGATGTCGTCACTGTCCTTCTTGTCCAGCAGACCTGCAGCTTTAACCGCTGCCTGCTGCTCTGCGACACGAGCCGCCAGCTCTTCCTGAAAAACACAGATGCACACAAACCAAAATTCATGATCCAAAACAGGCAATCTGACTCAAAGGTTAGGTTAAAAAACTGCTATTAAAATAACACACATCACATGCATTGGTTTCTGTAAGCACTGTGTCACTGTAATGAAATAATAATAAAATGATCACAGACCATCCTGGCTTGCCTCTGAGCACGAACATCTATCCTCCTATTTCCGGCTGGAGCAGGAGGCGCAGAGTATACGGTGGGTGCTGCCTGGATGACAGACTGTGGGGGTTTGACCTGTGGAAGGGGTCCCTGTGGTCTTGGTGGGCCTGAGACCACAGAGACCATATCAGAGGCCTAGGGAATACACGCCAGTAACATTTGAACACAGTAAGATATTTAGTTAGAAAGAAAACGTTTAAAAATGTATAAAATAAAGCAGCTCTACATCCCCTTCTCTCACCTGAGGTGTAGGGGGCATGTGCTGAATGGATTGGGTCGGCCCTTGAGGCGTCGGGCCCTGCAGGGTAGGAGGGAGCATCATAGGTGGAGGGGGAGGAGGCCTGGGCAGAGGAGGTGCCATGGGAGGACCACGCATCATTTGCAACCTCTGACCGGCTGAGACCAGAGTATACATCACATTAACAGGTTACATTTATTAGACAAAGGCAGAGAATATTCTTAGAAAACCAGTGACCATATGGGATATATTTGCTCTTTTCTCTAGTATTTGAAGAATTACTTCTTCCTGGATATTTACTGTTATTGTTAAAAAGTAGTTTTGCAGACACTGCCGAATTGAGTATTGTATAGTTTCAAGGCCCTTATCAACGCTGAACTCAGCAGTTTTAACTTTTCACACAAACAAACAAACAGCTTATGTGCACTTTAGAGATGCACTGATCTTTTTTACACTAAATCTCTAGTGTGGTGATCTCACCAGGTCTCTGCAGGATGTGTGGGACAAAGGCAGGTCTCATCATTGGAGGAGGTGGTGGGCGAAGAGGTGGGACTGGAACAGACAATGGAAAAATAAAAATAATGAAATATTTTCATTATTTTATTCAACGGTACATGGCAGGAAGTTAAGTGGAATTGTCTGCACAATATTAAATAAAGCAGTAGGTTAAAGCTTTATTTTAGGAATATCAAAAGTGACAGATTTAAGGTCACAAAAAATTGGATCCTGTATGTACCAGAGATCAACAGGTAAATCCAGAGGTAGACAAAAATGCACCATTGCTAACTATTAGAAACCACTACCACCTCACATTTAGCTAAAACTCTTTGTGTACATGTATAGTTTTAAATTACCTGGTCCCACAAAGGTTGGAGGTGGTGGACCTCCAAAGCTGGCAGCTCTGGCCTCTAATGTCTGTTGGACCTGAGAGAGAAGATCAGTGCTTAGTTGCCCTGAGGGCGAGGACCACCAAGATCTGTCCACGTAGTCTTATCTCAATCATTTCCGAACCTGTCTGTAGGTGTTGGTGCCTATGATTGGTCGCACGACTTGAACAGCTGGAACAGCCAGAGCCATAGGCAGGGCCTCGATGACAGGTGTATTTCCCGTCACTGGTACTGGTCCGCCAAGAACCTCCTGCTCAAAACTTTAGCAAAACAAACAAAATTAGATTCTCAATGTTTAACCTTTAAAGACTGATTGATGATAAAGATGTGATGAACATTTGATTTACTCAAAAGGAAATTATTTTTGTTCACCCATATTTGTTATTTCAGATCTGAATTTGATGCACCAACAGTTTGCAACAATATTATAGTTCTCTAAATACCTACATAACATCGGAATATTTTAAATCTTGTGTATTTGTGTCTATGTATTAAAATTCTTTGAGTACAAAGTTTTTAAAGTGATCTCTTTGGACCCCAAGTGTCTTGGTAAATGACACAGCTACGTTTCAATGTATGCATATGTCATACTGTGATAAACAGCATATTATACTCACAGAGCCATTTCAGCCTCCATCTCTTCTAGACGATTTGAGCGCCATGCTGTTACAGAGAACGACAGTGATTAGACAATGGCCGCAGAAACGTTCAGAATGAAGAGATACAACCGAACTATTTTAATTTCGCCGCAGAGCCACATTTAAGGTTAAAGACGAACAGGTTTACGCTGAAAATAACATTTAGCAATTCTTCACTGCTAGCATCGTGAACAGATAAGTTCAATTAAAATAAAAAAATACTTACATTCATGTAAGACTTGGGCGTCTCTGATGAAAACGCTGTCTTTGCTCGGTCAAATGTGTTTTAGGAACCTAGAATGTTATTAAACCGCAGCAACTAGCCAGGCTAGAAGGCAAAGTAGCTTCGCCGTATCAAGGAGCTAAGATAACCTATAACACAGAGTCTTACCTGTCACCTTGTTCTATGCTAGTTTATTAAAAAATTGTAATAATACACTTCGTTTGGAGAGAATAGGCTAATAAAAACTCAATGCTTGAACTGAACTGCTCTACATTACGGCTCAGGAAGTATTTATCGTACTGTGAGGTCACGGCACCACCTGGCTTGTCGTTACTGCCCCCTAGTGGATAGGAGAACAGACCTTAGGGTTTTTTAGATTTTTAAACATAAACGGTTTTTCCTGTCTCGATTTGACCTCTTCTCTTTTTACAGCAGGTGGCGCTTCAGCCCTATTGTGGGCGTTGTAAAGAAGGCTGCTGTTCTACTGTCTACAAAGTACACAAAATGCCATAAGCAATTAAAACCATGTGAAAACCTAAGAAAGAAAAACACACTACAATGACTTGTGTCCTTTATCCTCCCTGTCATTGTTGTTTAACCGCGTAACAGTGATTAAGATGAATGAGAGCAAAAGACACCCGAGCTGTCTGTCACGTGACAAATAAAACGAATCTGCGAGAACGAATCTACGAGAACGACTTTGCGAAAACAAATATGTGACAACGAATCTTTGAACGACTCTGTGAGAACAATTCTGTGAACAAATCTGAAAGAACGAATCTGTGCAGCCCGAGCAGTCTATCACAAATGAAAAATCCTGGTAGAGGACAAGTGAATGTAAAACTCATTTTGACAATTAGTGAGACAATTCGCAGTGAGACAATTAGTGATTAATTCGCAGAGACTGATTCACTCGCAGTGAGTGATTAATTCACACAGAGAGTGATTCGTGAGTTCAAAACGAACGAATCTTTTACATGACTCGGAAGTCACGTTCATGATGAACGAATCACTCGCGAACGACACATCACTAAAAGTGGCCTGAGAACTGGAGATAGGGTTTGAGTGGTGCAGAAGCAAGACCCAAGCATGCTTCGATCCGTCCTCTCACGCTCTTTTCCAGGATTTGGACGTCTGTCATTACGTCCCTTTTCCGCCGCCGCTGTCCCCGCACCTAGTGGTCAGCCCGAGGTCCATTACAACAAGGTATGACTATGTTTGAGTGTCGGGGAGTTCCTGAGGCAGTAGTGATCAACAAGTGCGTGAAGACTCTGGGGTACTTGCACTGCTGGAAAAATTGTATGGTTTTTAGCTTCAGCGTTTCATTAATTCACTGCATTAATTCAGCGCCTTAATACCAAAGGACGATTTGCAGAGGCTCTAACTCCAAAAGGTTTCTGTGCCTTAGTATAGTACAGTATATTGTACAGTATAAAGTACAGTATATAGTGGTCGTAACAGTATAGTTACGATCTCCTCTAATGTCTTCAATAATAATAATAATAATGATAATAATAATACAATCTTTTGTTGTAACTCCCTGTGCAGCTCAACGCCATTTGTTTTACCATTTTATTTTTTTTTAAGTTTTTGATAATACCTTTGTAAAGCGAATTCGTAATTTATGGAGTGGATAATCTAAATAAATATGTTGTTTTTTATTTGAATAAAGATAATATAAAATGATTTAACTGAAATAATGTATTTGAATCAGATGCTGCAGTCTGTGTACAGACAGTTATGCTGATTGTATTTCTTATTTTATAACTTTTAACACACATTTGTTAGACCGCCTGATGACATAATGATAATCTGACACATTGTATTACAAAATCTTCGGAGTAAACTTTGTTGAAGTCTTTCTTAATCAGGTCAAAAGAATGGGTTTTGTTGATTTAACCACAGGAATCAGAGGATTATACATTCATTATCTAGACAAACTGCTGTTGCACAATCCTCTCCAGATAAGATGTGTTCCAGACTGTGATCAGGAATTGAAGTGAATTATTCACAGACTATCAACAACCGCTCATATGTCTTCTTTTGTCAGAAGCAGCAGATCAGCGCTGCACAGATCTCAGTTTTATTACAGTGTGAGGTGACACACTCCCTCACAGTGGGCAAACACGCACACACACACACACACACACACACACATCATAAATCCAAATCATCTTCTACATGTTAAATGAGTGCAGAGGTAATTGACCTTATGTTATTTTTGGAATACAGAATATCCCATATATGTTTTTAGGGCTTGTATCATGCTGTTATTTGCTGTTGTATTGACAGCCGTGTAGCTCTTCAGAAGCAACACTTTCAAAGCTGCATCTACGTTCTACCTAGAGCCTGTTATTTCTCAAGGACAGAAAGACACAAATTCACAAATGGAAAAATAACTTTGGGTCACATTTTAATCTTGAAAGTAAAGAGTAAAAATACTTAAAAGTGTTGGTGCAACATTATCTTTTTCTGGAAGTCTGTGCTTTGAAATATTTTTGCATTTGTTAAAAAAGTGAACATTTTATTAGAAGATTTTTATTTTATTAGAAGTTTATAGATGCACTGTCTCTTTAAGACCACATTCCTGGTGTGTGTTTCCTGTTTTTGCAGGGTTTAGAAGTTCACTATCAGATTGACAGGGTGGAGCTTCTCTGTAACTGGTGTTTAGCAGACACTTAATAGAAAGAAAACACCAACACTAATAACCAACCCAGCCCAGAGAATTCAGTTTCATTTAAGGTGAAGCTGCTGGTGAACTAGTTTTGCAAACATTAATTACATGAAATCCTGAAGCTGTTTAGGTTTAAAGTGAGGTGCATTGAGGTGCATGTCCAACACTGTTCTCTGTCTGTGCCAGTTAGTGCCCTCTCTGATTAAAACAAAAGTTCAAAATGAAGCGATAACCTCTGTGTCTGTTTTACTCTCCCAGCTGTTCATCAACAATGAGTGGCACGATGCAGTGAGCGGGAAATCCTTTCCTACCATCAACCCATCCACAGGAGAGGTCATCTGTCAGGTTGCAGAAGCAGATGAGGTAAAACAAATTTTGGTGCAAACAGAGGCCTCACTTCACATTTGTCACTGACTCGATAAAGGAAGGGTAAAGCAGGGGTGTCAAACACAAAGACAGCGGGTCACAACCGGCCAGCGGCAAGCTGGGGTGTTTGATCCGGCCCGCTTGATGAATTTTGGAAGTGAAAAAATGCACAAACACGTCACATTGGTGATGTGAACCTGTATACATAGAGATAATTATAATAATAAAAAATCTTAATATTTACAGGCAGATGTAAACAAAGCAGTGAAAGCAGCAAAAGATGCCTTTAAATTGGGATCACCATGGCGACGGATGGATGCCTCACATCGCGGCCTCCTGCTCAACCGCCTTGCTGATGCCATTGAGAGGGATTCTGCCTATCTGGCTGTGAGTCTTTGTATTTATTTTGTTCACCTCCAGAAATGTCTTCTCCAGGACCGTGTTGTAATTCAGGTGTCTCTGACCTCTCTCCTCAGAGCTAAATACAAATGCTTATTGTTCAATTTTCTCAGTAGCTATAATACAGGCATCATTGACAATGAACCATATAATGCCACCTTAACTTTAAACCCCCTCCAAGATGCTGTAAAAGTTCTCAAACACCTGGACAGTTTGTGTTGACTTCTTTGGCGATTAACTCGCTCAATAGAATTGCGCTTTAATGTTTGAAAATGTTGACATTTTGTTTTCACTACCAGGAACTGGAAACCCTTGACAATGGAAAGCCATACGCTGTCGCCTACATGGTGGATCTGCCCAATGTTGTCAAATGTCTCAGGTAGTACTGCCAGCTCACACACACGTTTGTGTACAAAGCAGTTACGTCAGTTACGAGGCTTCCTCAGTTCTAACTGACTGCTGGGAATATTCTGGTGTTTATACTCAATACCTGAAACGAGGGTTGTGGTACAAAGACAAATCATGTGACCACACCCAATTCCAAAGGATGTATCGTTGCCGTTGTTTGTAGTGTTACGATCAGAGACATTTATTCACTTATTTGACATACAGAGGGGCCTTGAGATACTAGCTACCTGAAATTCCAATTTTCCAAGTTCCAAGAGTAAGCACACTGTCGACACTGTCTCACTCACTGTCCCTCACTTGGTTATTTACCCATTGCTTTATTTCTCTCTTTCATTTTTTAGTTATTTTTAATGGGGAAAATTCAATCAACATACGCATGAATCGACATACGAGTGCTGCTGTGGCATGGATTAAACTGTATATGGAGGCCCCACTGTATATAGACACCTTGGCAATGTCTGAGAGCTGCCAGGTTGTAGGAATCAGAGGTGTTATCCATAACACTGAATGTTGTTTACCTTGTCTGTCAACACTGTTCCTTAGCGCCTCCTCTCTCTTTCCAATCGTCTCTCTTTCATGTGCCACTGTTTTATGCATGAACAGTTTCCTCATTCATTTAGTCTTTTTTGTGTTTAATTTACTTGAATGTTTTATGTATGGGATGTTGTTTTTGATGTCTTATTCTAGGCTGTCTTTTTAAAATCACCCCTCTGGGACAGATAAAGTGTTTTATTTATTAAATTAAATTAAATTAAATCATATGCATGACCAAAGGCATTGCTGTGGGGTTTTTTAATAGCTGTATTTAAAAAAAGGAAAATTAGCAACAGATTGGGCACAGGTCAAATGGACTGAACTCTTTCTCTTTGTGTCAAGATGAGATAAAGAATTAGAGCAAAAAGAAAATATTGTTCATACCTGAGTCCTTTGTGTTGCGTTCAGGTACTACGCTGGCTGGGCTGACAAGTGGGAGGGAAAGACCATTCCAATCGACGGGGACTTTTTCTGCTACACCAGACATGAACCCGTCGGAGTGTGTGGACAGATCATTCCGGTGAGAGACAAGCAGATGTTAAAGTAATTGATTGGATGGATGCACTAATGCAGATTAAATCGTACAAACAGACAAAGACAAGGGTTTTAAAACTCTTTGTAAACTATGAAGAAAATACTCCCTCAGAGTCACATGAAATATCTTTTATTCGATCTCAGGGGTGGACTATAAACAGCGCCTGGGACGGTATGTGCTGCTGAACAACATCCAGCTGGGGAATGCAAATAGTACACTTAAAGCTGCAGTGTACAACTGTTCTTGTTGTTATACTGCCTCTGTGTTTTTTCTACAGTTACAGACTTTAAAGTCGGCCACAGTCAGACTGATGGCAAATCAAAACTACTGAACACGTGGAAATTAACAAACACCATGTCACAAAAATAACAAAATTGTGCAATTTTGATTTACTGTTGTACAAAGTGCAATTCAGCTAATGACAAATGTGCAGTTCCCTGATAAAAAGGTGCAATATTCTCACCAGGACAATACTCAAAAAGACTCTTTCTCTGCCCTCACCCTTTCTCTCTCTCTCTCTCTCTCTCTGCACCCTCTCCCCCCATCTCACAATCCCAGAACTAGACCATTTGGTACTCACTATTTACTACTGTTATTATTTATCACTCCATTATTGTCTCCAACGTTGCCCTCTCCTGCTGGTCGGTACTTGAAGTTACAACTGTATTTTCTTCCACTTCTTGCTTGACAATAACGACTTACCCCCCAATGCTGTACACTGTTTTTTTACATCTTTCATATATTTTTTTATATTTCCTATTTCTATACACTGCTTTATACAACTTAAAACTGTTGACTCTTAGAGCCCTGATGGATTATGCACAAATGGCAAATAAAAACCTTGAACCTTGAACCATGAACCATGAAAACCTAATGATGTTTAAACTCTGGAGTCAGAGAGCACGGGGTCAAAAAGAAAACGGATTTTATTGCTTCCTTAACAATGTTTATACTTTGATTATTATGGCAAACAAACATGGAAATGAAGGTGTTAGTGTGCACCTGTCACTGTGTGTTTGAACCATGCAGGTTACATTACATCTATAGGATGAAGGTTTGGATCCTCACTCTCTACCTTTCTCTTTCACAGTGGAACTTCCCTCTCCTAATGCAGTCCTGGAAGCTGGGCCCGGCCCTCGCCACCGGCAACACTGTGGTGATGAAGGTCGCGGAGCAGACGCCCCTCACAGCTCTCTATGTGGCCAGTCTGATCAAAGAGGTACCAGGTTTCTTTTTGCTCCTTTACAATGACGTCGTAGTGCTCACCCTGTTGTGACAGTAGTGTTTGATCTGATCACATTCCTGACCTGCTGTTGTATAGAACTGCTAGGTTGTTACAAGGGAAACCTTGGAAGCATGATTTTTTTTTTACCTCCTAAAGTGCTAAAATATGATTAGAAATACTACTGTACACCACTGGAACCGGTCCCTAAGCTGTCACCCACATCACATGCTTTTGTAACATTTATGTTAGGACAAACTAGGCATTGCCCTTTGAATGGTACTTCTGTCTGAGTCACATCAGCACAGTAATGTCTTGTAAAGAAGCGGTGCCTGTTGTACTAAGAGTTAAAACCCACAGCTTGGCCTTCTAATGGTTTCAGAACTTGTTCCATGATTCTTTTCTTCTTCAAGGTGGGCTTCCCTGAAGGAGTCGTGAATATCCTGCCCGGCATGGGACCTTCAGCAGGTGCTGCCATTGCGAGGCACATGGATGTTGACAAGGTTGCTTTCACAGGATCTACAGAGGTACTGAGCTTTATTTGTGTTTAGTCAGTGTTGATTTACATGTGGGTAAACACAGCAGACAACGAAATTTGATGTTGTTGATGAAAGAAAACGGCAGCTGATGACAAAGGTGAAAGGTGTATGTAAATCAACAGGGAATCCAAACGTGTATAAAGATGACTCTGCTTCCAGCTGTAAGGACAAACACAAACCTGTATTGAAGGGGTATTCCAGGTTTACTGCACTGCTCCATTGGACATTTTTTCCACTGCACACTCACAGTGAAATAGTGAGGCTACAAGGAGCAGAGGTGGTGAAGGTGCAGGAATTTAGGTACTTAGGATCAACTGTTCAGAGCAGAGGAGACTGTGGAAGAGAGGTGAAGAATAGAGTACAGGCAGGATGGAACAGCTGGAGAAAAGTGTCAGGAGTGATCTGTGACAGAAGAGTGTCAGCTAAGGTGAAGGGAAAGGTTTACAGGACAGTGGTGAGACCAGCCATGATGTATGGTTTAGAGACAGTAGCAATAGGCAGAAGACAGGAGGAGGAGCTGGAGGTGGCAGAGTTAAAGATGCTAAGATTCTCTTTAGGAGTGACAAGAATGGACAGGGTCAGGAATGAGGTCATTAGAGGGACAACACAGACAGGAAGGTTTGGAGAAAAAGCTAGAGAAGCCAGATTGAGATGGTTTGGACATGTGCAGAGGAGGGACAGTGGATACATTGGTAGAAGAATCTTAGAGATGGAGGTACCAGGTAGGAGAAAGAGAGGAAGACCAAAGAGGAGATATATGGATGCAGTGAGGGAGGACATGCAGATAGTTGGAGTCAGAGTAGAAGATGCAGAGAACAGGGAGAGATGGAAATCAATGATTTGCTGTGGCAACCCCTGAAAAAAAGGGACAAAGCCGAAAGAAAAAGAAGAAGACACTCAAAAACATGATGGAAGTGACAGGACTGTTTTTTGTTGCCTAGTATTTAGTGAAAGCCTACATTAATGTCTTGGTGTGTCTCCTGGTTCCAGCATTTGTCAACAGACATGCTTCAATAAAACTATTCCCTCTGACTGTAACACCTTTCATCCTGGTGTTTGTGTTTGTTTTCTTTAACAGATGCCATTTGATCTGTGCTTTTCCCTCAGGTGGGTCATCTGATTCAGCAGGCCTCAGGCAGCAGTAACTTGAAGAAGGTCACTCTTGAGCTGGGAGGAAAAAGCCCTAACATCATCTTGTCTGATGCTGACAGTGGGTATACTGTACCAGTGTGACCTTCTGCTGTCATGTGTTAATAACTGCAATAGTGTATTCTCGTAGACATGTAAGCCAAAAAAGAAATATATGAATTGCTCTGGAGGTGATCCAAATACCAAGAAAACTCATTCACCCCGGGCAAAAACGGCAGCTCTGGGGTAAAGACATGTCTGACATGTCTGACATGTCTGGGGTAAAGACATGTCTGGCATGTTTCCAACAGACAGATTTTTTTTTTTCTCTCTCCCCCCCTTCAGTGGAACACGCGGTGGAACAGGCCCACTTTGCCCTGTTCTTTAACCAAGGCCAGTGCTGCTGCGCCGGCTCTCGTACCTACGTCCAGGCAGACATTTATGATGAATTTATGGAGCGCAGCATTGAGAGAGCGAAGAAACGGGTGGTGGGAAATCCCTTTGACCTGAAGACTGAGCAGGGACCTCAGGTAACTTCTTCATCTCTGTCACAAACACAGTTTTTATCTATTGATAATCACTGACTTCTGACTCTATTCTTCCTATCTGTCCTCCTCTGAAGGTGGACCAGGAGCAGTTTAACAAGATTCTGGGCTACATCAGCAGTGGGAAGAGAGAAGGAGCCAAGCTCATGTGCGGCGGAGGAGTGGCAGCAGACCGAGGCTACTTCATCCAACCTACAATATTCGGAGATGTCAAGGACAACATGACCATCGCCAGAGAGGAGGTGGGATGAAATCCATGAACTGGAACCCAAAAAACTATTTTAACGGTCTCTCTGGTTTTTCCTTGGTCAACGGGGGGCAATAATAATAATATTCCTGACAGTTAAAGTCTATGGTGTACCTGACAAAAGGACACATGCAAAGGATCGAAATCTATTATCTGGTTTGTGTTGTGGTTTATTTTTTTGGCATGTTCCTTTGCAGATCTTTGGGCCAGTGATGCAAATCCTTAAATTCAAAACCCTCGAGGAGGTGGTGGAGAGAGGCAACGACACCAAATATGGCCTGGCAGCTGCCGTGTTTACGAAGGACTTGGATAAGGCCAACTACCTTTCCAGCGCTCTCCGTGCTGGAACATTCTGGTAGGACCACCACAAAAATCTCACACACACTGATTTTAGAGTTATGAGTGAATGCACTTAGATTGTCGTTCTTTGTCATATGCTTCACATTTGCCGTTTTTTTTACCAGCTGGGATCTTCATTTGTTTGTTTCCAGGATTAATTGTTATGACGTGTTTGGGGCTCAGGCTCCATTTGGAGGTTACAAAGCTTCAGGTAGCGGCAGAGAGCTGGGAGAGTACGGCCTGGAGGCCTACACCGAGGTCAAAACGGTAATGTTAAACATGAATGCATTTCTATATGTTGTTGTAAAAATGCTGCAGCATAACCAAAGTTGTGAAACATCATGTGGCTCTTCATCCAGATGGGGTCACCACAGTTTTTCTTACGTCACACTGGCACTCAAGAGTCTAAGTTTATTATTTAGAGCAGAAACAATGTCCAGCTGTGTTGTCTCTCTATGGGTAATTTATTTTCTTGTGCTTTTGTCTCTATTATCAGGTGATCATGAGGGTTCCACAGAAGAACTCTTAGACGTGTGCAGTGAGTGAAGAGCAGACGCAGGTGCGTCTAAAGTCTTTGCTCTATTTAGACCACATGACACATTCCTCTTACAAAAGGGTTCAATTTGATCAATTCTAGTATTGATGTGTACTAAACTCATGTACTGAATTGGAGAATGAAAATATTAATGGCTTTGTTATTAAGAATTTATTAAGACATATTCTTGACTATTTTTCCACATCCTAAATGTTCTTTCTGGTTGGGTGAAGTAAAGAATACCGGTATCTGTTGGTGATCTGTTGAGCCTGAAATGTCTTATTTTTCAGAATAAATACATTGTCAAGTATGCGTGTTCGTTTTCTTTACACAGCCAACAAGCCAACTCGAGTCAGTAAATATAAACTAAACAGAAACAAAATTCATTAAATGTTCACCCATTCAATTGTTTATTATATGACCTTTAGTAAAATCAAACCAATTGCTGTTTGGGTGAAAATGATATTGTATTGTGAGTGTGTTACAGAGAGGTCATTATGCAATGTGTGCAGCATTTTGGACAAATGTTTGGTAAATGTCAAACGCACTGTTTAAGTATCAATGGTGTCGTTTAAACCTAATGTGTTCGCTGGTGTTGAATACTATTTGGCAGCACATGGCGCCTGTCCCGTAAACTCAGGAATAGACACGCAAAATTGTGTGACGTCATTGCAAAGTGTCCAATTGTGTGTGAAAATGCTGATAACAGCTTAGTCAGCCCGTTTCCTCTAAAATAAGTTTGCATTTTTTTATCAGATAAAAAGTAAAGGGAAACAGAAATAAAAAGGAATAACGGAAGCCGAATGAGAAAAAGTTGTAAAAAAAATGTTTAAACTTTGGCAGCCTTCTTGTACCGCCCAGCTCTTTCAAAATAAAATACCAGTATAAAGTTTACATATTCATGATGAACACTGGAAACACTCTAAATTAAATATTTCGGCGTGCTAAATCACTAAATGTCTCAAATTCAGTCGTCAACATTGAAGCCATATTTATTAATTATGTAGATAAATTAACATTATGTAGTCGAAGACTAAGCAGAAGCAGAATTCCGGACATCAACCTACTTCCGAGTCACGTGACTGACGACACGGTGACGCTCAGTGACCGTAGTGACAACAATGCTCTCGTACTGGAACAAACCCCAACAGGCTTTGGCTCGGAACCCGTGGTTCATGTGACCGCGGTGGCGGTTGTGGTGAACCGAACAGTCGTGCCGGTGGAAGAGGAACTCTAATGGCTTCACCACAGAGTCGAGCGGCTTAGTGACGGGAAGAAGAAAGGAGAAGGGGGAGGAGAAGAGTGGCTCACTGCCGGAGCCGGTGAAGGTAGACAGTGAGTGAGTCCGTGTGCCTTCCTTCTCTCCGGTTGTCTGTCGGTCGGTGCTCAGGATGTAGGCCTCCGCTGTAGCCGTTGGTCATCCTGCTGCAGGTGGGTGGTTCACGGTTATCGTTTTTTAGCGTTAATGGCTTTACAAACGGTGCGTGGAGGTGGTACGGGCATGGGCTGCTTGGTCCAGGCCGGTGCTTGGTCGGTGCTCGCCGGTCCTGCTGCTGCAGAGCAGATGCTGCAGAACAGATGAATGGACAGTCATTGCTTTGTTTAAAAATATGACTGCAGTGCAACTGTGGCGTCCACTTGTCTCCACTGTATGGACACATGCACCGTGGACATTTGTTCTATACACAGTGTTCCCAGGAACACCAGGCCACGGCACCACGAGGGGTCTTAAAGGGGCTCTGCCCTCCTAGTTGTGCACTTACCGGTCAAAACATCAGGTACAGTTTATCAACACCGACCGACACTTCATTTGTTCATTCAGAACTTTCTTGACTAATCAGACATTGTCGAAGATTTTACTACATGTGGACATGATGTTTTCACAAGATTGCTACAGATTTGTACAATGCAGAACGTTCCTTCTGACACATCCCGTAGGCGAAGTGAGATCTTGGTATTGTAAAAGTAACATAAGTAGAGTAGACCGATCGTTACGCCAGTCCTACATCCTAGATAAGACCCCTGAGACCAGGTCAACTAATTCAACCTTTTGGCCAATTTAGGTAGCCCATATATTCTAGAGGTCCAAGTGTTACGTGCATAGCCGTGTCTTCTTGTCTGCTCGAATGAGATCCACTACCTGTAAGAGCTAGAGTCACATCATTTTTGTTGATCATGTTTAGACAGCCTTAAGTCGGACTCTGTCTCTCTCTCTACACCAATTTCACCAGGATAAAGAGGTGGATTTTCTACACCTGATCGGTTTGTGATTCATGTCCTGCTCATTGTCTGTGGGTCAAGATGAGCACAGACAGACCCAAACGGAACATCATCAAGAAAAAACTTGTAAGTAGTCAAATTTACAAACCGCGATTCAAAATAAAAAATTAGAAAAGGTTTTGTTGAATGAAATATATAAGCCACAATAGCTACAATAGTACAAAACAATGTAGCAGAAACATTCAGATATTTCAAAAGTAATAGCAAAAAATGCCTACAGATATCTAAAGTAAAATAAAACATTTCAGGCAAAATAAATGAGAAAAATTAAAACCCAAGAAATGGGTGAAAAAATGTTTCCATAGACAACTGATTGTTTGCCAAGAAATGACCAACTATAGATGAAACAACACAAAGCATTGGGGACACCAAAAATGCAACAAGGATGTTTAATGTGCAGTGTAGTAGTTGAAGCTGCAGTCAAAGCTAATTGTTTCTTTGTCTGTTTGTCTCTATAGGACATCAGTGATGGGATGCCATGGTGTGAAGAACGTCTGGTCCGCAAAGTTCTTTTCCTCTCCCTCAGGGAATTTAGAGACACACACCGCACTGCACACAAACAGCCACGCATGCACACACGTGCACACAAAAACATGTCAAAAAATCCACTCCTATATAGACCGCGGAAGGCACAGACGCATCTCAACACGCATGCGCAGAAAAAGACACGGACAACACTAAAGGTCACACACAAACAGCAAAGTTCCCAGAAAAACACACAACCTTCACAAAATATGCACATTTCAAAAGAATCACACCGTCAGGAACAAACCAACAGAGGGCAAAAACCTAACTCGTCTCAGGACTCACACACACCAAAAAACAGATGCACCCACACACACAACATGCAGCCACAATCCGCAGGGAAAATCACATACAGTGTTCAGCAAACAGATGTGCAGGAGAACAGACAGAAGTTCCAGAAAAAAAATGGTTCCACCAGGACACTTCGCTCACATACAACACGAAACAACCTGTTGCCGCCAGATTCCAAACACACACTAAGTGACAAACACACACCTGGTGCTCAGCACAAACACTCGGTGAAAAACAGCTGCACGTGTGAGAATACGCGGACGTTGCTCACCCCTCAAGCTCCTGCCAGGACCCTGAGATCACGCACACCCCCCAGACAGAGCGGTCAGTGCCACCACTGCTATTTCTTTTCTGCTCAGTCACAGCTGTTCACTAGCCTGTTGTACTCAGCCATTAGTTAAAAAAATAACGCTAATCATCTCAGAAGGTTCACTGAATTTGAAACATTTGTTCTGATTGAATAAGAACTGAAGCATTTGAACATTTAACTCCAACCCCAAACAGGGGCATCATCATTGTGAATAAGAACTATGTTAAAAAGTATGGCTCAACATTCAATGCCATCTTATGTTTTTGGGTTGTCATGTCCACCATTCTGGTTTTTATTGATTTATTTTGTTTTGTTTTATTTTATCTTTACGCAGTCACATTGAAACACAAGGTCTCGTTCTTAAGAGTAATCTGTTTTTAATTGACCTAAAAGTTACCGCTTGCCAATTTCTGATGGTCACTTTGCCTTCCTTGGTCATTTACAAAAGTGCTTCATCGTAAAATTGAACAGTTCTGTACAGTTCTTCTACTGTTTCTGGTCTATTATCACAGCTGGGAAACTCTAGCTATCTAGCTTATTTTGCCACTGTTTTTTAATAGGTTCTCGGTTAAATAGCGTCAGCCACTGTCAGTCCAACCCGTCAGCTAGTCCCAGTTGGAGCTGGATGTTACAGACACGTCCTCAGCAGCATCGTCCTGCCAGGATTCAGTATGACAAGGATGCCTTTGCCAGCAAAAGGTTTGTACAAAAATGATGTACTGTCCAGCCTGGGATATCGTGGGTAATAAGTTTCACTGAACGAATGTCACAGAAAAGTTAATCTTCAGCTGTCGTCGTTCTCACCTGCTGCTGTCTGTGCCTGTTCTTTACAGGCTGTTAAATACCACAGTCATGTTAACTCACAAAACACTGACCTGCACTGCTTATAAAACGTTTTTGTTTACCACCTTCGAGACAAATAACATTGACTGAATATAGATACATATATACATACAAAAATAAGATCCTGTTTGTACGCATGTGTGTCTGCAGACCACGGCTTCAAGCACAGAGGAAGTTTGCCCAGTCTCCTCCCAGCTCTCCAGGACCACCAGCACTGATGACGTTATCACGGAGCAGCAACAGCCAGCACCTGCCTCCTGTCAACTGTCTGACCCGACGTCGACCTAAGACGGAAGATTTCTTATCTTTCCTCTGTTTAAGAGGTGGAGGAAAACTCAGTTTTTAGGTTATTGAGGAAATGCAGGAGTTTTACAGCTCAGCTTTTTCCTTTTAATGTGTCTAACACAAGGGATGAGCCCACACAATACTCACAACGATTGGTCCAACGTACGAATAAAAGAAAATCCAACCATTCAACCCACCAATCTTAACCCACTTTCTTATAGGTTCTGCAGCATTACCCAGAAACATGGCCTTCTTAGCAAGTGGACGAGAGAAGGAGCCCTTGATCATTCAGCACCTCACTTCCTGTCTTCCTATCAATCACAAGACTGAAGCTGATGGAAAGAAAACGAGGACATTAGGAAAAACAGCAGGTACTAATTTCCTCAGTCATTTGGTTTGTGTCTCGTCTTTGGACTTCAACGAAATGTAATCATTTTTCTTTGTGTATTTGTGTCCGTCTTTGTGTCCCACAGAACAGCGGGAACCTCGATCCCTGAGGAGGAGGACAGCTGACGGCTCCTCCTGCCCTCAAACTGTCCGAGAACGGACTATCAAGGAGAAAGGGGAGGAACAGCAGAGGAGAAGGAGGAGAGAGAGGATGGAGGACAGGAAGACAAAGGGGGCTGAGAGACACCTCCTGAGGTCTCGCCAGCTGTCCCTGCAGATCAGAAGGACTAACAAGGTCTGGTCAGGCTTTATTTACGGTTCTGTTTGACACGCCTGCATTTGAACTCTCAGTTTTAAAATACACATGTCATTTATTTTGTTGTTTTTATTACACGCTTTAATGTACTGTGTCTTTTGTATAATCTTTGTCCAAGACTGTATAAAAATTGTCCATGAATCTCTTCACATCCACTGGGTGATCCACATTGATCACACGTGCTGAAAACAGATCCTGGAACCATTGAAATAATGTTACATCTCCTATCCACAGTCACTTATGATTGGATTAAAAGGGTTCTTTGTTAGTGCCAAGTCCTGAGTATGGACTGATGGCCTGTCCGTCAAGTAACCCAATTTCAGACCAGTTTGGTGTCAGGTGCCCCAACAGGAAAAAGTAGCAAAAAAAAATTAAATAAAAGGCAGACGACCTGAGCTGCTCTGCTGTAACCAGAGTCATTTCAGAACATTAAGAATATAATTGCAATAACAACTGTCTGTCTCCATCTTTTTGTCTTTGCTCGTTGCATGAACATAAACATAATGACAGCAGGTTGTTTTCAGCCTAGGTGCGATCTCTCTTGGATGTTCATTTTTATTTGTTCCTGATGTACTCATTTCTTTTGCACCGTGTTGTAAATGACATCATACGAGAACATTGTTTTCCAAATGCTTCTAGTCTGGACTTGCAAAGATCAGTGGGTGATGCATTTATCAATTTTTAAAGCCCAAAACTTCCTCTATTGCAGGTTCCAGTGGTCACTAGACCTACTCAACAAAGCACGTCCTCTATGAGGTCAGCTTCTCCCTTAAAGCCAATCTCAGGGGTTGGCAGCAGACGATCCCCCAGGCCTTTCACGAGGTCAAGCAATACCCTTAAACCAAGAAGCAACCGACTGCAGGAAACCAGCAAATCCCACCTCTCTCGACAAATCAACCAGCAGCTGCCTCAAAAACAGCAACCTCCTCTCTACCCTCGAACAGTCTCCAAGCTCTATAGCAAACCCAAGACCATCAGTACTCTCTGCAACTCAGGAAAACATTTAACTAGTACACCAGCTCAAAAGCCACTGACCAATGGCTCCGTCAACATGCAAATGTGTGAGAACCCTGGTGTCCAGAGGATATCCAGGAGGAAGAGAGGGCTCCCACCAGACACCAGCTCTGCTCCTCCAAGTCAGGTACAGTTGGACAAAAACCCATCAAAGAAGTGTAGAGGACTGCGGTGCACCAATAGTGTTGACTCCTCGGAGAGTCACTGTCATACTGATGAGAAGGAGGCCATCGATGTTAAAAAGGAGTTTGACAGCCATAATGGTAGAATCCCTGGTCACAACAGCAAAGACAGAAGCCAAGACGAAAGTGACCAGGCTAGAGAGGTGAAGCTGGAGACGATCGGTCGTCTCTGTGACGAGGACGAGGTAACTGCTGATCAGTTAAGTGTGGTGAGTATAACTGCTCAGGAGCCCACCAAAAATACAGTTAAACTTGCCAACATCATCTCAAACTGTGACCTCCATCCTGTCAGTGAGGTCATTTGCAGACAAGTGCGAGAGAAGCAAATTCCCCAAATTCCACCCACTTTATCTACAATCCCTAAGCCGGTTACCAGGACTGCTGTTTCTAAGAGTGTTGTCAGAACTGCTACTCCAAGGACTAGCTTAAATAAGGCTGCTACAAACCAAGTAACACCAGTCTGCGTAAATCCTAAACCAACACGCACTTACTCTGCCAAGCCTTCTGCTAAGGCAGCTAAGAAAGGTACTGGTGCAGATGTTACCAAGTGTTCTTCTCCAGCCAGCAGTTTTACTATCCCTTATACTCAAGGTGCTACAAACAACTCTTCCATCGGTACCACAGAGGACATGACTAAAAACACTGAACTAGTTGGTAGCTTTTCCAGCACTTCCAAAGGCTCTGTGAAGAGCCTTCCCCAGACCAAGTCTTCTACCTCAGCTATTAAGACCAGGACCAGCCCTCGAATCCTTCTGAAACGCTAATATCTGAGCTACACGTGCGAACTGCAGATGAGTAGAAAGTCTAGATACCATACATAAGATACTGTCGATAGTGTGAGTCAGGACGATGGTTTTTTGGCTGGATGGACAGTGGTGTAGTGACCATGGCTTATTGTCAGTAATTGTTGGATCTTCATTAGGTTTACTGATCTTGAAACCTTTGTTCAGATTGAACAAAACCTAAATAGCATTTTAACATTTAACTTCAACCCCAAATAGGGGCATCGTCGTCGTTGTGATTAAGAACTATGTTGAAAAGTGTGGCTCAACATTCACAGCCATGTATCCTTCTACCCACACTAATATGTGCATTGTACTGTTACTGCAGTGGTATTGTAGTGACATAAGGCACTAGTTCCCATTATAAATACACTTCCACCTGATTTTAGTGCATATCGCCAGGAAGTACCATGGAATAAATGTTTCTGCTTCCAAACGCCTGGAAAAAAATATGCAAATTTGTCCCTGGTATCTGGTATTCTGACATACACACAAACACATGTCCCTGTCACATTTCTTCTTTGTCTTCCTTGGTTATTGCTTACACATGCTGCCACCTTTACACTGTAGTCTTCATGGCCACAAGGTGGAAGAAGTGTTAGAGCTCCTGTCTTATAGAAAGAAGATCACTGGTGTGCTGGTTCGATTCTGGGTCCTGATGTGTGAATATTACTCTTTCCACTTATGTGTGGGTTTTTTCCAGGTACTCCAGCTTCCTCCCTAAATCAACTATCACCAGTTTAGTTTAAATGGACGGTCTGGACATACCTAATCTGACCATAGGTACGACTGTGAATGGTTGTCTGTGGACAGACTAGCAAACAGTCCATGGCAATCCCCACGCTCACACGATGACTGTTGAAATTAGTTCCAGCTCCCGTGCAATTTAGAGGATTAGGCAGTAGAAGATGAATGAATGAAGAGATTATGTAAATTTTTGGAAGTGCTAATGGTCTGTGGTTCCACTTGCTGGATCTAGATTCTGTATTTGAATAGTACCCATGAAGGTACAACTGTGCTTCAAATATAATGGAATGGTTGTATAATTGTGGTCTGTGCCAAAAAGTCTGTAAAGCAATATTTTGGAGGTGATACCTAATATACACGTCTTAATGATCCTAATAACATTACAACTCCAGTCCAAGAGTCTTGTGTGTGACATGTCTATGAATCATCCATGCAGTCTCCCAGCAGCCAGCCTACATTTTGAGGGATACCACTGCAGTAATGGCACGTTACAATCTTTTATTACTTTCTGAATTCATCCGTACTATGTGTTTTTATATTGTGGCTTGGTTGTATTTTAAACCTTAGGAAAACTGTTTGGAAAGCACAGGCATTTTCCTTTGTCAGTCTGCTGGACTTTTTGTAAAGCTTCTCTGAGGAAAGCTTTCATATTTGGCTGCAGATCTTTATGGCAAGGTTTTAGCAGTCAAGTCACAATCACAACGATCACTAACCCGTGACTGCCGTGTACTTTTAAAATAAATGATATAGAATTTATAGTGAATAGTAGAAACGTTTCGAAGATCTTTAACAAAAGTCCTTTATCTGGAGGACAGGACAGAAGTCTGTCTCAGTAGAAGGTCAGATTCTTGCATGTATATGTACTGGGCAGGTTTTTCTTGCAGTAATCGCCTGCGCTGTTCTTACACTAACTGCAGTATAAGTGATGAGGCACTAAACGCCAGTTTTGTGCATCACAGTTCTGCCGACTACTGAAGCCTTACACTCATATTAACTTCATATCAATTCAATGGGGATTTTTGTTGCTTTCAATGAATTCCAATTCCTTCTAATAGGAAAGATTGTAATTCAAATGGTTATAAAAAGAATCTAGTATTACTTTGAGACTGATTTAAGCCAAGCAGCACATTGGTGCAATGAAATTGTTAACCTGTAGATACAACAATCTGTCAACTGCTCTCCACAACCAGATGTATACATACTGGCTGTCAAAAGATGTAGAAGCCGCATTGACTGAAAATGCTGTTTGACAGTGTGTGTTTGCTCATTGTTTATTGTAGACACTGTAGAAGAGGAGATGTTGTGTGGCAGCTCAACAACATAACGCTGTACAGAAAAGTACAGCAGATTAACCTTCACCGGTACGTGGATGTGAGTCTCTCAGAAAATGTGGTTCTAACTTGGATGTTCTTAAGGGTTTGAGCTAACACTAGGTGCTGTTTTGATTTGCTTATTGGCTTGTTTTGGAAGGAGAAGTAGTGTGGAAGTTTTACCTAAACTAAAAAACCATAGACCATATACAAGAGATGGACATAGCCATCTACTTGAAATCTTGAGTCTGGATATTTTTTTGGGATCCTGGATACTCTTCTTTTTGGAAGTTTAGTTTGGTCCTGTTTTACATGGCCATCCCCTGTCATTGTCCGTTTTCCCTAAGAAATCGATACAACTATCCATTAGGGCCTAAAAATTGTGAGAGCTCATAAACCTCTCAGGAAGTGTACACAGATGTTTGAAACACTCTTCTCATAGACTTCCATTCAGTCCTAGTCTATTTCAAACTAGTGAGTTTGCCCAGTCCAGTGCTAGTTTAGGACTACTTTAAACTGAATACTTGCTTAGTGCAGTGGTTCTCAAACAATGTAGCAGTATGCATGGGAATCGACCTCCTATTAAGATATGGTGACTGACTTAGTTGTTAAATGTGTGCGCTCATTCTTGCTTGCTTTGTGTGTGTGGTGTCCGTGTGCACGAACAAGTGCGTTGGTGTATATGTGTGGTTTAAGAAATGAAATGAAGCGCTACTTATAGTGTTACTTAATTGTACAGTGTGGCTTTGGCCCGTAAAAGGAAAATGAGCATGTTAGGAGTACGTTCTCTCCTTAGCATACCTTCCTAGGCCTGTGCTGCTGTAGTTCACTGTTGGTGGTTGTAGTTGGTACCAAAAACTAAAAGTTGAACTACTGGTTTGCCTTGTAGCTTTAGGACTAAGCATCGTGTCTTGGGGTGACCAGAGATGGAAAACAGACCATTTAGCTATGAACATGTTTTATATATGGTCTATGGAATTACCGTTGCACATTTCTTTACAGTTGAATAAAACAATCTAAAGGATTTCAAAGCCAGTGGCCGCAGTGTGCACTGCTGTCTTCTTCGTTTGAGAGACTTGCCATGGAAATCTTTTTAAAGTTGTTGCAGACCTTCTTAAATAAAAGAGACACACATGTTTGTAATTGAGGTATTTATACACTGTTTACATGATATACAGTACTACATTTTCTTTGTCTAAACCACATGTACCACATGTTTAATGAAGTTATGAGTAAAGGCATGAAATCACTTTATATTATGACCTGTAGGACTAGTACTGGCTTTATAGTTGTTAATGTGCAGTTTACAAAAAGAAACACTCACACAAAAGATGACTGTGTTGTAGTTACAATAACAAAGACAGAATTTTATTAGACTGGTTTTAAAGAATGTAGTTTGATTTATTAAGTAAATGTTTTTTTTTTTGTACTTACTGTGAAGCATTAGCAATGACCTGTCAGTGCTTTTCACAAATTGTGAAATTTGGCAGGAAACTGTCTCTGACACAATTCAAACAGCAGCTTTGCTCTTACAAAATCCTGAATGTGATTAAAAATATGTTTTTGTAAATAGTTAAATCACATTTCTCATTTTTCACATATTTATTGCTTCCTGCTATGCAAAATATAGCCATTGTGAACTCATCAGTGGAAGCTCCAGAAAAATAATTGTGGACCTTTTGACAATCTGGATTTCTGATACAGGAGTTATTCTGCATCTTACCTTTGTTTTTACTAACACATTGAGATCTGTACTTTATAAAGGAGTGCTAAGGGATTGTGGGATAGATACTAATGTTTTTGCAGCAGTGTGTTTACATACACTTGTCTCTTGCAGTTACTGACCTCATGTGAAAGATGGGTCCTAACATAAATGAAAGAACGCCTTTATTCTTGACTTTATTGTAAATGTTTGCATTTTAATTGACTGGAATGTTGCTGAGCAAACTGTTTAAGCTCCAACCGAGCATTATGTTTAAAACACGAGGATTCAAATGTACATGGATGTCTCAAGAAACTGTAAAAATTCTGTAAATGTGAAGCATTTGAATGACACTTTGTAATAAAGTTTCTTTGTGAACATTTGACATTAAGGTGCTTTTGCATTATTTAATCGACTAATTGTTGTGAAAGGTAAAGGCAACATATGAAAACCAGTTACTTCTCAAGTAGAGCAGTGTGTACTGCTGTACACAAACAACACTTATTATGATTCAATTTTGACCCCTCGTACTAAAAAAACATTTAACCAACATTCCTACCTTGAATTTTGTTAAAATGAAACGACCTCCTTTGATTCTTTTTTCTTCAAGATTTAGTGGAAACTTTGGATTCTTCTTTACTTAGTTGGTTACATTCATTTTCAAGGATATTACATCTCAAAACAAGTTCTGAAAATTGCAAACTGTATGGTTAATTCAATTTGATATTTGGTTAAAGTTTTAGGAAATAAACCTATAATTCACATTTAGGTAGAGTCTACATTGCAGTTCTTCAAATGACCAACGAGGGCAGCAGTTTGCTTCGCGTCCTCTGCCATAAGCTTTAGAAGAAGAAAAAAACCACCGCGGCAGCAGGAACAACAACAAGAGAGAAGTGAGTGTGGCTGTCATTTGAGATGACAGTTGTGAAAGCAGAAGAACCACACTGAAAGGAAGCCATGTTCGAGACCTTCAGAGAGCGACTACACATGGTCCAGCAGGACTTCACCACCGGGTAGGTCTTCTTTATTGAAAGTCAGCTCAGTCATGCTGCTGCACAAACCCACAGTATCTCAACGTTGCTTAGCATGAAGTAGCGCTCGGCTAACAGCGGGTTCTATCAGTTGCTTACAGTAAACCCACAAGTGTCAGTTCCCTATATCTTAATACTTACGAATAGTATTTTGTTTTTAAGCTACACTGTACACAGGCAGCTCTGTTCACCTCATTACTCTCAGCTGACGATCATGTGATGAGGCTCCGTTAACCCTTCATCTCCCCCCTTGGAACCTTAGATTTAAGAATTTGCGTTTAAAGTATAAGAAAAACAACATTATCTATTTTCTCTTTTCATGGAAAAGCTGATCTGTGCCTTTGGGAGGAGAAATAGTCGTGTTTATTATTCGTGCCCTTTTCTGTTTCTTGTGCTGCTCCTATAAAAGTAACCAATCCCAACCCAAAGTGGCTAATATACCCGAAATTGTAGAACCTGTCAATATCCTTTTTTCCCTTTGTCCAGTTTGAAGACCCTTGGAGATAAATCAAGGGAAACTAAGATCAAAAGAAGACCCAGGTAACTGTGACGTCTATTATATTCATTTCATTGGGTATTAGAGTTGTTCAATTGTCTTTTGAGGTCACATGAGATATCTCTGCTCTGTTCAGGATTGAAGAAAGTCCACCTTGTTTCAGTGCTGGTGTGGAAATCCTCAGCAGGTCTCGTCACACAATTTTAATTACATTTTTTGCAGTCGCTTGGTAACTGCTGGTCAAAGTTTTAAAAGCAATTACATGGACATGTGTTTCTACAGATATGAGGAAAGTTGGTTCCAGCTCCATAAAAGAACCAAAGACTGTGGTCAGACTGCAGAGGTATAGAATCAGTACTTAATTCACTGTTTCAGTGAATCACCGCCTCCGGTTTACAAACCTCTCTCTTTCCAGGCAGTAGATGGCGACATAGTCATGCTGTCAGCTCACTGGGAGAGAAGAAGATCAGCTCTGACACAGTTACAGGAACAGCTGCAGATTTTACCGACCTTCATCAGTGAACTGGATGCCATCACTGCTAACATAGGTAACAAGTCTTGTGTAATAGAAAATAAAAAAGTAGTGTACGTTGCACAAAAGACCAAATATTAGTGATTTTTGTATTTCAGTTATCATCCCTCAGCATTTAAAGTATTTAAAGTTGACTGAGGTAATATGTGTGTCACATGTCTCCAGCTCATTTAGAAGGAGACTTTGAGGAGATGGAGAGCAGACTGACGTATCTGGAAACACTGTGTTGTCAGTGTGAACAACAGACGTTAAAACAACAACACATCAATCAACTGGAAGCTTATAAGAAGAAGAAGAGGTTTGTCACTCATTCAGAAACGTGGACATGTAATGTCACATAGTATCAGGGCAGCTGAGACTGCTGTTAATGTACGTCAAACAGCAACTGCAGTAAAAAAAGTAAGGCGTTTTTAATGCTGTTACTGAATCAGAACATAGTAATGACCCAGTATGACAACTAACTTCTGCCTTCGGTCTGATGAAGTTTACTTGTGTTTTCATGGTTGTCTGTTCACAGGAAGGAGCTGGAGGTTCTAGAAGGTGAGAAGCTTTTCTGTCATAACACATTACAACATTGATCACTGTCACGAGCTATTTGAACCAGTGAGGCAGAACCTAGTTTTATTTGAAGAGGTGAAAGAATGAAGCTAACTGTGAAGGATGTCTTCTTTTTGTACAGCGGAACTCAGCTCTGAACACGCTCAGAAGGTAGCAGAGCAGGAGCAGGCCATGCAGCAGAAACTACGAGAACGACAGAAAGTCTATGAAGAAGCTTTTAACCAGGACATGAAGCAGTATCTGTCCACGGGACAACTGCAACAGAGAGGTGCGTCGATGTTTGGTTACTGAATCATTTTTCATCCCATCATATTTATGAGTGCTCTTAAAATGTGTGTGCATGCAGAGTCAACAGGAGCTGATGTGAGTGTTTTGGATCACATGACGGTGACCAACTTGTCAGACCAGGAAGCGCTAGATGACTTCCTGAACTCATTCAGTGATGACATCAGCACCAGATCGTCACTCACTTCAGGTAAAATTTATAAGATTCAAGTCCACTGGTCTCTCCACTAAGACTCAGTGACACAAGACGTCTCCTCTGCTCTAATAGGTCCAGACCTCGAGTCCCTCTCCTCCACAACCTCACAGGGCCAGACAAACAAATCACCAACTGCAACCAGTCAGAACTCTGACCAGGATGCAGTGTGGGAGAGAGTGGAGGAGGTGGGCAGTGAGGATAGTGATGAACCAGTGGTGCAGTCAGATGAAGAGGACATTCAGCCTGATACCTCACTGGTGGCCCTGCAGGTTGTATCGAGGAGCTCTGACGAGAGCGACTCTGCAACAGACACGCCCTCTAGTTAACCCGACGACCTCCAGGCTCCAGATGCTGGATCTCAACGTTAACCTGCTGATGACCTGCCCTTAGGTCAAGAAGAACACTTTCCTTTTTTTGAAGTCATGAAAGTGAAATTTTCATCACCATGGTCCCAGGCTGTTCAAGATGGAAATGTGTTCATGAGTGATAATCACAGGTGGAAGACAAACCAATGCCAATCACAGTGTGATGTGTTTGCCAGGATGAGTGTGTTGCCACATTGTCACTTTGTTCTGATGGATAGTGAAGAGGCCTTTTGTGTAATTTTTTTCCATTTATATATTCACCGCAACCTACTAACACACAGTCACTCTACTGAAATATTGGTTTTGTCAGTTTTTTCCCACATGTCTGTCAAATGTGGAATACATCTGTCAAACAGACTAAACCAACCTGGTGCAGTGACACGAGCTGTTGCTCTAGTTTTGATGCTTCCTCTAACATTAGTCCTCTACTCGTGAACAAAGACAGCTTTGACTGATCAATGCTGTGGTTGGAGTCTTTAAAATCAACAAAAAGTCACTGTCTTCCTGAACTGCAGGGCCAAAAGAACTGAACATGTCTAAAATGTCGATCATGCACTTGTGGCTAGCTTCTTTTTTTTTTTTTTTTTAAGTGATACCGTACTACACTGAATAATTAGCAATCATATGGAGTTATTTTCTGCAGATTTAAACAGATTTTTACATTGTAAGTAAAATATGACATTTACTTGCTGCCTAACCTCATATCCATATTGTGCTGATTTACAGCTATAATAAACAGAATTTGCATTATGATATTGAAGGTTAGCAGTGCTGTGTAGATGAAAAGGTAATGAGCATGTGTATAACTGATCAACAGTTGATGCAGTTTATTTCTATTAAATTAGATTATTAAACTTCTAATTTACTATGTTTTGCACTTAGTTTCAGAACAACTCTGTTCCAGACAATCAAATCACGTTTCTTTTTTTTTCTTCTTAAAAAGCTAAAAATATCTGTTTCAGTACACCCACATGCTTTAAATATAAACACTGTAAGATCAACTGTGTCTGGATGTGTATGATTTTATTTTTAATCTTTTTTTTTTACACTGACTAACTTCTTAAAATAAATAAAAATTAGCAAATTAACGTCAGTTACCTTGAGATGCTCTACTTAATAAGTTTTTGTTGCTGTTTTTTCAAGTACATTACGCCACTAGTTTTCCACTAGAGGGCAGACCTACTCTTTCTGTCACTACGACAAACATGAGGTAATGGAACGCTATAAAGAGACTTGTCCGCCAAGAATATTTATTTGGTCTTCCAGGCTGCAGTAAAATACTGTCATGGGAATAACTTAGATTATTCACTAAAGAGAAAAGCTTCAGTTCAGTTGTGATGTGGGAGGAATCCACATTGTTGTGATTCACAGTAGAAGATTTGTTGAACACAGGGTTAGAGTGTCCACTCTCAGCAGCAGGTGCATCACACCTGGAGGAGGTCAACACTGATTGTGGGAGGATGAGTGATCCTGTCTGGTGACTCCAGACTGGGAGAGGCTCTGTCCCAAAGTCTATGAAAGTATGGAAAAGAGGCCGGCAGTTCATTCTAGACATGAGTAGTTTGTGCCAGTGATGCCAGGAATAAACCAGGAAGAACCCAGAAGGAGAACCGAGGCCTCCAGAGGGAACGTATACCAACAAGAAGCCAGATGAGTTGTGTGTGTGTGTGTGTACTACCTGACAGTGTAGAGTAAAACCTGGTCCACGTGAGTTCAAAATGAAGCTGAGGTCAGGAGTTATGGTCAGGGTTAGAACTTCCTGAAGTGGTGGAGCGTCAGGGCCCAGTAAAGGCTTCTATCAGAGTCAGTGACTTTTTATAGTGATTACACTTCTGTATAATGATGAAGGTTTCTACAGACATAATGAAGTCATTAGGAAGTGGATCTGTTCATGCAGGACGTCACTGAAGGGTAAAAGTGAGAAATACACAACACTGGCTCGTGTAATGTGTGTATTGCAGTTATAACAAGTGCAGTGTACAAAATGAATACTGCATAAACATGTCTGCTGTGTGTTTCCTCTGTCCTCTGTCCCTGTCCCAAAACCTCTGTGGTTCAACAGACCTGTCATTACATCTCTGTCATACAAATTCTGGTTTGCAGTGGAATGTCTGCACCATACTCTCTCTCTCGCTCTCTCTTTCACTCACTCATTCACTCACTCACTCACTCATACACACATGTTCATATAGTGGGATGTTCCTATCAGGAGAATTTTATGCCCTTCGAATAATATTCATTGCGTGTGGACAAATGTAATGTTTACATCTGTCCAATATTAACCTTTTGCCGATAGCCGATTGGCCGATATTTTCCAAACACTTAATTTCCAATTCCGATATAGACCAATACTGATATAGACCTGGTAATATTTATTTGTTTTACTGTAGAAACCACTGTATTATGTTGCTGGTTCCAGCATTCTGCATACAATCCCCTGATTATTAAAATAAATTAATAAAATGAGCTGCAATGCTGCTATCTAGTGACTTTCACTTTAATGTACAGCTGTTTATCCCCAAATCTATTTTTAGAACACATATCATTTGGCAAAACCATGGCATTACATTATAGGGTATTCATTAACGGAGGAAAACGTTAACATTTCTTACAGATATTACATAATTATGCTAATATTGACCGATAATATTGGTTGGCTGATATTATCGGACATCCCTAGTATTGTTAGCTATCTGTTGCTAACCTGAGATATTTTTGGCAACTTTTGGTCTTATTATTGCAAATATAATTTGATCTAATTTCTTCGTGTCTTCATTCCTAAAGAAACGTTAACATTGTTTTCAAATAAAATATACACATTATTATGTAAAGAATAATAAAAAAATGTTAACTTTACATCCACTATGGATCTAGTATAATAACATTGTAAATACATTTTATTGACATTTAAACCTAAAAAGTAGGATTTTTGAATCATACGGACTCCAGCAGACATTTTAAGTGTACAGTAATATCTTTAATTCTTTAATGATATACAATATTTCACACGTAACAAACTGCAAAATATAAAGAAGTGTAAAAGATCTTTGGTACACACCTACATAGAAACAAGTGTTTAAGAAAATACATTTCATATCTGCATTCAATATAAGTAGAAGGATTACTTTTCCCTTTAGGGCTGATTATTCTCTTATGTACAGTTATTGGCTCTATGTACAATACACTGTGCTTGTTTACCTGCCAAACAAGTTTAAGTAAAGCTGTAAAAAACACTCACACGTACAAACAAAAGTTTTTTATAATTCCCATACAGTATACATCATAGTATAAAAAGGAAGACCATTTTTAATAGGTGAATATTAGACTTTAAAATTGCACGTTAAATGTCTTTGGTTTGTGTATTTGTCCTGACAGAAGTGAATTTAAAGCTCGAAAAACATGCTCTTTCCTGGGTTCAGCACATCTGCGGAAGCTTCCAGTTTCTCCTGTTTACGGCTCTTCAGCTTGACTCAGCTGATTGTGGTATCACACTGCACAAGGAGTGAACTCCAAAAAAGATTGCCCCTCCCCCTTTGCTCAGAATGGCGTTTAGCTATGACACTGACACTCAAAGTCCCGCAGGAGCTCAGCTCCCGATAATCACTACTGACATTTTCCCATCGGAGGAGAAGAAGCGATCTCGCTGGAAATAAAAGATAAACTTTGTGAGCACAACTTTGTGAGTTTCTGCTCACTTCTTGTCGCTCATGGAACTATCCACAGCGATGATGTCCTGGATTTCTGAGATTTTCACCTCCTTCTCAGGTATCTCCACCTCTATGGGGACCTTCAGCTCCTCAGGGATCTTCTCTTCTGAGGAGCTGCGGCAGGACAGTTTGTCAATCTCATCTTCTAACGTGGAGATGCGCTCGGCAACACAGTGGGCGGTGAGGCGAGCCTCGGGGTCGTGGTCCCAGCATTCCTTGATGGTGGCACAAATCACTCCCACTCCCTGAGAGGAGAGAAGAAAAAGAGCGACATTAGAACAAAGGTAGAGTTAGGTCATAATAAACCTTCCTCCTAGTGCACAGTCTCTCAAACATGGCTGGGACCGACCTGATGTCTCAGCCAGGTGTCGGGGATCTCGGGTCGTCCTCTGTCTCTGAGGACGTTGTCCTTCATGCTCTCAACACATGGATGCTCTCGGACTTTGGATCCATACGCTGGCTCGTAGTCCTTCACTTCTGCAAACACAAACGTGACATCACATCGTTAGATTCCTTCGACCGTGTTCCTGGGATTTAGTTGATGTGAAATGCTCTTATCAGCTGGAAGATTCCTCCCAGGCTAAGATTTCCTGGGGCTGAATTGCCCCTACAGATTTCAGACAACACAAGGGGAGTCGTTTGAGATTTTCTTTTCTCTATCCCATAGACCTAGCATATGGCCATGCTATTACATTTACAGCCTATGGAGTATGGATTAGGGATTCCTAAAGTGGGATTTAGTCCAGCATATAATAAGATGTTGGCAGTCACATAACGCTAGTCAGCGAACGGTTTTCCAACAACACTGGTTATTTGGTTCGTTCATAACAATTAATTATGGGTCTATAATGAAGTAAAATCCAGAACGTGGCTGATTTTCTACCTGAACAGGAACTACAGTATTTATTTTGGTCCACAAAAGTTAGTTAGAGGATTGGTGGTCGAACAGGTGTTGTGTGGAGTAACAGTGAGTCGTCAGGTAATCAGTGCAAAAACATCCGTGTATGAGGTCATTCCACCATGAACCACCGCGCCGCCAGCCCGGTAAACTGGCACATGTCGTGCTGACAGAAGGAAATTAAAAAATAATGTTTCCTCTGAAAGGAAAATGCTCAGTTAAGCACATGACGTTTGATTATTTCAAAAATCAGCCTCTGCTTAAAAACCAGTCACTCAGAGTCGGAGTCAGAGTTGGAGTCAGAGTCGGAGTCAGAGCATGCCGACTTCCCAATCTGCTTTCTTTAGAAATGTGTGTGTAGGAGACTGTGCAGTCAAAAAGAGAGAGAATAATGTCAAAACCATAAAAAATGGAAAACAAAGTTCTGGGACGGAGTCCAGTGGTCGTTAAACAGAACTCACAACAGCTGCAGCCGGTCTGCAGCCTCTCAGCGGAGGACTCCAGGATCTTATAGTTTCTCTGTCGCAGACACTCATCGATGGACGGCGTCTTCATCAATCACAGGTTACAGCAACATGTTTGTTTTAAAGAAGGTTCTTACGTCTTTATCCTGTCCCTTTACAGCCTGTCATCCATGATTCACTACTCACAGTGTCATCAGTGCTTGTGCAGACACACTGAAAATATGTTGGAGTAGGTCAAACTGAGTGTCAAATAAAAAAAATCTATGAAGCCTTAAAAATATACAAATATGTTTTGGAATATTCATCTGTAATCAGACATTCCTGTACAGCCGTTTCTGGCTCCTTTCTTTGGTAAATTGACATGTGGACGCATAAAAAAATCTATAAAAAGCACCGAGGTGCTGCATACTGTAAACCAGGCCAAATGTGGTATTTGCTGCTGTGTCCTCAAACACAGGAAGTGGGAAGGTTGGACTGGAACCTTCAGACAGGAAGTTGGAAGTTTTGGATTGAGCCTGTATGCAGTTTGAAGCTGACTCTACAGGCCCACACTTCCTGTTTTTGACATATGGAACTTCCCTTCTTTTTTGTGTTCTAAAAGAGCTTGGACCCAGTCCGGCCCCGTCCCATTGCCCTGCAGCTTATTTATCCCAAGGCTGGTATTGTCTTGGGCCCGGTGCAGTTTAGATCTACCACAGCGGAGCTGGTATAAATACCCCACATTTTCCTGGACTGGATACAGGCTGTGGAAGCACAGGGCCAGCAGGGAGCAAAGCCGCCTATAATAAGAAAGCTGAGAACAGAAATCAAAAGAAGTGGAGGGCCTTTCAACGATGAAGACGTGATCGAGGTGATGTTATGGATTTGACTCCGACGTGACCTTTCTTAAGAAGACGTGAAAGAAGGGAGACAGACAAATACTCAGTCACATTCATCAGCGCAGCCCGTAAGGGAGGCGCTGCCTGCCCCACTCCACTGGACATTCACAATGCTATGAGAAGAATTTTATCCACCGTTTGGTCTGAAACCAGATTTCACAACAGAGTGCAACCAGAACCTCAGCCCTCACTGTCTGGGGCCTGCAGTTAAACCCAGGTTTATCCAATCCAAGGGGCGGAGAGCGGTTTACAACAGTTTCCCTTTTAGATTATCTGTCTGAAACCTTTGTGGCCCTGGAGGTCAGCAGAAACCTCTGTGGCTGCCTGGGATCTGCTATCTTAGGAGAACTTCAGCTTTGTCTTGGCACTGGAAAAACCCTGACTAGACACACAGCACGATGTTGATCCCAGTCAACAGGATTTGACTGCTGTATGCTGTATGCTTTACATTGTCTGACAGCAAAAAGTCAAGAAGTCAACAATGGATTTTTATAAAAAACATTTCCTGGAAGTTGAAAATTTGTCATGGCCTTAGACTGTGTTGGTAATCCCCACACAGACTCTTGGGCTGAATGGGCGGATATTTACGACTGTGAATGTCGTTTTGCGTTTGGACATTTAGACTAAAGAAATCATAAATCAAAACACGTAGTTTGCTGAGATGACGAGAACCTCTGTGAACGTCAGTACAGTCCCTCCGTACCATGGAGTCTAGATAAATCCTGATTCAGCTTTCTCTTGAGAACGCTCTTTTGTCGAGGAGACGTGGAACATTTTTAACCATCTACGTCAATCTGCAGAAACCATTTGTCAACGGTGTGGGAGGCTCATGGCACCTACTTTCAGCTACCCACACAGAGAGCTGTTTCTCTCACATGTCGGCTCAGTTGAAACCTTCCTCCTGGAAGTGGGTCGAGGGGTCAAGGACCTGCATCATTTATCATAAACAAATCTCTTGCTGGTCATTCAGATCACAGAGCTTTTCTGATGACTTGTTCTGAAAAGAGAGACACCTCTGGGATGGGAGGTGGAGGTGCGGCGTCCTACTGCACCTCCTCGAATGAAATAACAACGACGATTCAGAGCCTTCCCAGACAGAGAGTTGAATCTATCAGGAAATGTAATTTTTGCAGCAAAAAATTCTATTTACAGCTAACGGTTGCATTTTTACCTCCAAGATTTAAAAGTTAGGTGAAGTACATTTTATGGACATCCTTTAATGGTACATAGCTAGGACTGCGTAGTTACTGTTTGGGCATTCATTGGTCATACTGCCTTGTTTTGGCCTGACATGTCGACTATGGCAGTGGTCCCCAACCTCCACGCCGCGGACTGGTGCTGGTCCGTGGGTCAGTTGTTTCCAGGCCGCACAGAAAGGATGCATAACTCTCTGTCACATCTGTCTATGACTCACACTTCAAGATGCTTGACTCAGTCACATGTCTTACCTACATCTGCTACCTTCTTAAAGGGTCTACTTCTGGCAGCAATACATGATACATTACCGCTAAATTGAAACCCCCTTAGCTAGCAAAATGATCAGAAAACAAACGTCTCTGGAAAGTTTCTCTGCGCAGGGTAAAACAGCCAATTAGGAGACGATTCGCAGGGTAAAACAGCCAATTAGGAGACACAAGAAGAGCCCAGGTCTTCAAAGAAAAAGAAAGCTGCATTTAATGGACAATTCCAGGAGTCCTACTTGAAATATGGATTTATTGCGACACGTTGTTCCCACGCAGCGAGCCTTGTCTATGGTACGGTTAAAAACTGTCTATTCCATCTTAATAAAATGAATTTAAACCCTGCAAAATGGGCGTATAATGTTTTTTATTCCCAGAAATATGAAGTCATCTGTTGACATGCGAAGAGATCAGGGAATATTTAGAATCAACAGCCTGGTGACTCTTCGCCAGGTGTTTCTGGGAGGTAAAGTACGTTTGGCCTGTGTAGCGTCAGGAAATGCCACATTGCCAACATTCCAGATGGAAATTGAATCCAAGGAAGATCAAAACTGTTGATTAGCAGTGTGATTGAGCAACATTACAGCTGGTACAGCTTAAGGTTAACGCGCCGGACCAGGAGTCAGACAACTTCCATGGTGCACTGCCAACAAATATTGCCAGGAAATACGGTGAAAAGCCTTATTTGACATCCAAACACAAACTCACCAACACGTGCGCACACACACGCACACATTCGCACACAGCGCCAGCTGTTGGTATGTTTTCCCTTGTCAACCACAAAGTTGCTCTGGCACGGTGCAAAGCCTGTGCTTCGCTCCATTACCCTCCATAACCTTCCCTGCCTCGCCCTGCGAGCTAATTCAGGATATGTGCGTTAAACTGAAACTGACCACAACAACAACACCAGCGACGAGTCGTATTTCTGTCCCCCGTTGTTGGAGGGCAGACAGAGGAAACAACACACAAATACACAATCCCAGATTGAGACATAAAAGCAGGCCTGCGTCCAGATCTGTGTCCGCCTACTTCCATCCCCGTCTGATGTGCACCTCGCTCTGAAATAAACACACATTAGTGATGCGGCTGTCTAGCTCCCACTGTCTCAGACTGTCTGGAAAAGTCCGGCGGAGAGGAAGATTTATTGATCCAGCAGCAGTCGACAGTGGCTTCTGCTGGTTGCTGGATTTAATTTAGAACAGCCAGGACACCTGCTGCAAGACTGGAAAGATCTGGAAAACGTTGTTCGTCCTTTTATTTCAGCTTGTCTGGACGATTGTTACTCATTTAAATCTCGTGCCTACAGCTTGTTAAAGAGAGGACACGAGTGCTTCAGCCTCACTTTAAAAACCTTTTTTTAATAAGATTCAAAATCCCCCACTTGTGTTGAAGCACATGTGTGACCTGTTTAAATGTGTTTACTGTCATTTCCTGTCGTTCTGTGCCTTGTAAGCAGATTATTAATAGATTCAAGTCCAATCAGCTTCAGGGTCAGTCTTCAATGTCATCATACACTATTACCTTGGTAATAATTAGCATTTGCAGCAAACCCGACCAGCGCTAACTATTTTAATGTGGTTATGGTGGATATTAAAAGCTGCTAGTACTCTGTTTTAGTATGATCAGTTAAAGCCGTCTCACATGTTTTTTGTTCCAAATGTGCGTAAATATCTCAGCTCATCCTTTAGTCCAAAGGAAAGACAGACGTTGAAAATGTGACGCAGAAGAATCCAAAAGCATGCCACATGTGTTCCTCTTACTGCAACTTCACGACGAGTTGATCGGTACTGGCTCTGGCATCATTTCTGATAAATGGTTCTAACAGTGAAAAATGCCAACTTGACAAAAGTCAAGAGGTTTGTTGTCAAAGACCGGGGGGGGAAAAGCACAAGTTTGTGGAATAAACTCCTGACTCTCTGGTCTCACTGTTGTATTCCAGTGAAAGTCAGTCTGGTTGTGTATTTACACTGTAGTGATTGACTACAGTCAGAGAGTGTGAGCGCTTAAACACAACCATCTGAAACAGTTACAATTTCCACTTCAGACTGTTTAAAGTCACTTCCTTTCCTAAGAAGTGCATCAGCAGCAGCGGAATCCAGATTTC